CCGACCTCCCAATCTCCTTCTCTTCCCTGTTCCTTTCATCTCTTTGTGCCCATTCACTAGCCGGAGGCCAACTTCATTTTCTCATTTATTTTTCCTCTATTTCTTTCCATAAAAAGCAGATACAGTATATAAGTGTGTAAACAGACATATGAACATATGCATACAAAAGGTGGTATGCTATCCACATTCTCTGTCACCTTGCTTTTTTTCATTTACCAGCATATCCTAGTAAAAAAATTACTTATCAAGTCACAACAATATTTGTCCTTCTATTTTTACAGCTATACAGTACTCAATTGAATGGGTATCACAGTTAATCCAATTTTCTATGAATAAGCATTTATTTATTTCTCTTTTACTATAATAAATAATGTAAAAACAATAACCTCGTATATGTTCAGACTGAATTGCTATCAATGAGATTGCGGGATCAAGTAGGAATCTCCTTATGTATTTTATGAAATGTTACCTAGTTACCAGATTCCTTGTGAGCTGCACCATTTTGTGCTTCCACCAGCAATACCTGTGCCTGTTTCACAACAGCCTTGACAAGAACAAGTGTTGTCAAGTTTTTGAATACTTAACAATCCATTCTTGGGAAAATGGGCTGATTTATTTTATAGTCTGAAATTATTTAAGTAACTTACTGTTCCACTAAACTGACATGAATACTTAAAACATCTCCACTCAAACCTGACTACCTTAAAACTGGGATAAATAATACTTTTGTGTCTTTTAGGAATTATAGTTTATATAGAATGTGACAGTATAATCAGAAAGAGGGGTTATTAAATTCTTGTGATTTCATGAAGGCCATTTGTATTTCGATGATAACACTGCTCCTGTACTTGGTGCCTCCAGGTAAAGTGAGTAGTGGAAAATTATTTTACTCATTCGTACAAAGCAAAGGTAATAAATTAACCATTTTGATAAAAGCATGAATAATTTGTGTTTTTTATGCTAACAACAGAGCACACAGTGGCTTGAATAGCTGATATGACTTGATATTTTGGAATTAATTTCTACATTATTCCTCTGGTAGGGACCATAAGGGCAATGATCATGACAGTGGTAATGAAAGCAACTAGCACTTACTGTGCCAGGCCCTAATCCAAATGCTTTATAAATGTTATCTCACTTAACCTTTACAACAGTCTTATAAAGTAGGTACTATTTCTACACCCATTCCACAGATGAGAAAACAAAGGTAGTAAGTCACTAGGCCATGGCCATAAAGTCAGTAAATTGTGGGGCATGGATTCTAATCCAGACAGCCTAATTCCAGAGTCTGGAATCAACTATTTTATTACAGAACCCCTAGCATTACATTATATGGACTAAAGAAAAAAGCTAGATACTTAAAATGTTATAACAGTAATAAATAAAAATGTTTATACTTTTTTTCATTTAAAGGAATACTTTTGAGTAGGGACACACATCCTAAAGTTAAATCATGGGACCTAATTAGCAACCAAACCTACGTTATTAATCCATGATGCATAGAATTTTTACTACTGGTCAAATACAATGTAAATTAAATGCAGTTTTTTAGAGTTGATGAAATCATCAATGAGTACCCTCAACAGGAGCTCTGACCAGTTCCTTGTTAAAAAAAAAAACAGTTATCAAAATAAAAAAACAGAAGTTATAGACTTTCAATCTTTAGTCCAATGATAGCTCACTTTATAATTTAAAACAAGAACAACTGTTATTATAGTGAGCTCACTATGAAATACAGAAAATATTTCAGAGGTTGGCATGAAATTATTGAAAATAAGTACAGCAATTATTTTAAAAGAAGAGAAAGTATTTAATTGCAAACTGAGGAAAAGCATCATTACCAATGACCGACTTACCTCATCTGGGAAAAGATGCAACCTCTGCATCATGGTCCTCCTGTGGAGGTTTTTGGGGAGCATGCCATAGATAGCTAGTTTGACAATCTGGAAAACACATATGCAGGACTCAATAAAATGAAAATATGATGTGATATCAAGAAAGCAGATATAATTAGAGACAGTGATGAAAACCAGTGGGCTAAGACAGCAGAACTATGGAAGGAAACAAGCGGGGACCTGGGTAGGTAAGTGGCAGCAATGGGAAGGAACCTTATCATTTTACGCCTTCCTGTTTTCTTTAGGCCTCTAATTGTTCAATTTATTTTTAATTAGGAAAAGGACAAGAGGAGGGAATTAAAAATACCCTGAGTATGTGCTGACTTTAGTTGGACTAAGAAGAAACGCTGAGCTTTCACAAACACCTGGGCTCAAGCAGTCTACCGCGCAGTGACCAGAGCAGAGCCAGGGAGGCCTTCGGCCTGCTGCTGCCAAGTGGGAGGGCAGGCGGCTCCCAGCTCAGAGCCCAAGGCCGATGACACAGCTACGAGGCAGACTCGAGAGGTCGCAGGTCCACACAGGGTGGTTACCGCTCATGGAGCCTGCTGTGCACCGCAGTCAGTGCGTTCATTACATTTGTCATCTTGTTTCCCAGAGGAGAAAACAGACACAGTGAGATGACAGAAGGCTCCCAATTCCATGTGTAGAGTAGGTGTCCAGCTCGAATTCAAACCCGGCAGCCGACGCCCAGGACAGACACAGGGTATGCGCAATCACACTTACCATGTGTTTCCCTTCGTAACTCACCAAGAAGACAAAAGGTCCCTTTCCTCTACCAAACCCATTACCAATATGGCAAACTAACCTTTCCCCTTTGAAGGTTACCCTCATTGTTGAATGTGATTTTATATATGTTTTGTCAAGAGAAGGCCACACAGGGTCACCCTGTGCTCCACAGTCTCCTGGGGGGCCCCACGGTACACAGTGTACACAAATACACGGTGAGCTCTTGGTAAAACTGCTAATAGAGACATCTGGAGTGTTGTACAGATTTTCGTAACCTGCACTCACATTTCAAGGATATAATTTCACATGTATAAAGCTAAATGCCCTAAAACAGTACATGTTAGGACAGGGTTTTACTACAAAAGGATTTCCTATTCCTTTTATTTTCTCATCAAAACCTTTCTACACATAAAAGCTAATGACATCTCATGTATATTCATCTATTTCCTAGGTTAGTGCTATCAATACTCTATGTTCTGGAGACTTTATTTAAATATAGACTTACATTGTTAAAATTAAAAGCCATAGAAAATTTGGTTCCTCAGTCACACAGCCACTTTCCGAGTGGCCAGGTGCCACACGTTGCTAGTGGTGACCACATTTGACAGTGCAGACACAGAACATTTCTGTCAAGGCAGAGAGTGCTACTGGACAGCACTGCTCTAGGAATTAGCTTTTAAAATGTTTAATGTTTAAAGAAGTCTTCTGTAGAAATTGACAATGTTAGGACTATTCAGCAACTTTTCCTAGGAAAATTATCCCTTTAGCAATTTTATTCTATTCGTAGGATTACATGGCATTTGATTCCCATGTTCTGAAACAATTTAGTTGTACTTACTTGAATTAACAAGTTGGTATTTTAAAAATATGCCCTATTAAAAAATGCAAACATTACAGTCTAATTAAGAAAATCTAGAAAATGTGAAAAGGTTCCAAGCTGATAAGGGAGAACAGCTTTACTAACTATAGGAGGCGGAGAAACATAAGAAAGGAGCCCTGTTAGAAGGAAAACGTAAGGACGCAAAGGCTCTTAAAGAAACTAAAATATATCACAGGGATAAAGGATAGGAGGGAAGGGCTGAATCAATCTATTTATTTGAGTTTAGAATCAATAATCTATAATTTTAAATACTTTGAAATATTTAATAACCTATTAAAATGTATTAATTATGTATTTTACAAATACTATTCCAAGGCTATACTAATAATCAGAAGAATGCACTATGAGACACATTCTCTTACAAGCCACATACACCAAATACTGACTTACAAATTGTCTGCTGGCAGAAACTCCCTGCTCCAGTGAACACATAGTGGAAGTAAAATCACAGACCTCTTCCTTAACGTGCCATTCTTTTTCAAACCACAGAATCAAAATTAAGATTTTTTTAAAAATTAAGATCTTTTAATGAGGTATTAATTCAAATGGATTTAACTCTGAAGTAGTTTCCAAGCCTCCATCAAACATTTTGTAATACACTTCATTCTTTATTTATAAAAAAATTTGAAACAATTACTACAATGTTACCCAATGCTAAGTTCTTAACATCAAAAAGTTGGACTATACTGCCTCCTAGTGTACAGTGAGCACGCCTGAATAATATATAAACTTTAATTTTAAAAGCATTTTACTATTAAAACTATAATTTGTTGTAACAGCTATGGTACAACATTATGGTTGTAACATTATCAGCAGCCCTTACAACTTTTTAATACCATTAAATGCAATCCATATTAACAAACTAGGATACTTTCTTTGACCTGTAATAGTCTAACAACACATAAGTTATGAAATAGACATTAAATATTTCTTAAGAAGCAATCTCTGAGTACGTTTTTGTAAAACAGATATGAATGGTAAAAAGTAAAAATAAATAGTAAAGCACAGAACTTCTAAATGTTATGTCAGGCCTTATTATAGTAAAATAGAAAATATGCCCCGCCCCCTGCCCTCCAGGAAAATTTTAGGGAGTACTACACCAAACAAATGGTTGTGTCCTCACGATAGATATTTTTGTTCACCATTTTAGGAAAAAGCAGTGTCTGAACCAGTCTTTCCAGAGATGAAAAATAATAAAAAATACAACAGACTTACTGCCACTGGATCCCTCAGGTGAAGTTGAGCAGCTGTTACTTGTCTGAAGCCACCTGGGTAACTATTAAAAGAACCAAAGGCATTAAAGCGGGGAGGAGGCTATGGAATAGTATTCTTGAGTACTCGTTTATAATATAAAAACTATTTTTATTAAAAATTATACTTGTTTTTGAAGATTATGCTATTCACTAATGTGTTAAAAATTAAGTAGTATAGCCTATGCTATCTGAAATACTATTCTTTTATGTGGTGAACTATCATTATTTCACAAAAAGTTCTCACATCTTGGAAAACTTCTTGGCATAACTACTTATATTTCTATTGGAATTTAGTTATTCATCATTCACTCATTAGCTCCCTTACTCCCTCACTCATTCACTCACTCGCTTATTCATTTTGGGGCAGTTTATCACTGTTTGAATTAAGAAAGAAAAAGCAATGAGCAAAAGGTTTCACATTCTCTGCCAAATCAGACTAAATGTCTATATAAGCTAATGGTTAAGTCTGGGAAAAACCATGGTAGACCATCTAGTTCTGAAGTTAAGTTCAAACTCTAAACAGGTCATAATCCTGTTTCCTATTAACTAAGAGTTACATGTGGGCCCTCAGTAATAAAATATTTCATTGTGTTCAGATCAAAATTATATATAAAATGTATAAATTGGAGATTGAAAAATATATGTTTATTTGGGATAATATTGGAGGCAGCTTAGGAACTTAGATACCCCAGTTTAAGGTCTGGAATCTAGTCTTGCTAGTGGCTACCAGCATAGTATTAGGCAACTCATTTTACCTCTTTATATGAGTTTACTCATATAAGAAAAGTGACACCTGCCTCATCTACCTCTCAAGATTTTTATGAGAAAATGTTTGTGAAAGGGCTTAAGAAAATTTAAAACAAATACAATATTCAAATGTAAGCTTTTATTACATTGGATAAATTAGTATAAAGCCGTAATGATTTTCAGGGAAGGAAAAACAAAAGTAGAATCAGTGAGCTCTGCAAGAAAAGTTTAAGATTACCTAAATGTGTTTCCTTTCATAAGTTTCTTTTCAACAAGAGTTAAAAACATTTTAAGATGACTTAAAGAAGCACCTTTTAGGAACAAAATTTAAGAAAGCATATTTAAAAGTTTGCTGAGAAAGATAATTTTTAAACTGAAATTCTTTCATTTATTTCACAATGGAATTTTAGATTCAGAAAAAAGAAATACCTGTCTAGACCTCTATTCCTGTATTCTTTCTCTCCATGGAAAAAATACTTTACACCTTCTACACTAAAGATTATCTATTTTTAACAGTAGAATGGTGAATTCTAAAGCATAATACCATTTGAATTACATTTTAGGAGTTTGGACTTTATATTGAAAAATTTGGAAAGCTACTGTAAAATTCTGAGTAGGGGAACAACTTGAGTAATGCAATACTCAGATGGCTTTTCAGCTCTTTATAAAAGTCAAAATTTTAATTTCAAAAATAGAGCAATGATTAAGTAGGGTAAATCATTGTGCACCATTACACAGTGACTGAAAATAACACTTATATTAAGTAAAAAAGGATATAAACTTTATATTAAAATGTTGAATCAAAGGAAGATGATTTTTAGTTCCTTCTTTAAACTTCTCTGTATTTTCTAATGTTAGCATGCATTAAAACTTTTACAACTAGGAAGATAAATGCTGAATATATCATTGTAATAAAACATTAGGAGCATAATAAAAATAGTATGTCCAAAGTGTAAGTCAAGAGTCAAGAGAAACAGAGAAAGAAAAAGCAATGATTCTATCTAAAAAAGAGTGACCAAGACAAGGTCGGGATGTCTGAAGGACCTTGAAGGAACCACAGATGCTTAGAGCCCAGAGAAAAGACAAACCAGTGGGTACCTTTGGATCATGGTCTCAAAATTATCTGAAGAATGTTATGTAGAAGAGATATAATTATTTTACACTGTCCCAAACAAAAGTAAGACCAATGTGAAAGCTAGAGGGAAAACGATTATGACTAAAGAGCATAAAGATCTTACTAAAACTTAGACCACTTCAAAGGTGGAATGAATGGGCTGCCTTATGAGCTATGAGATTGGTATTATTCAAACACAGGTCGAGAGATCTGTAACTTGAAAGGTTAAAATCTCCTTTAGTTATCTTCCAAACTTGAGATTTTGCTCACCACTGAAACATCTCAAGTACTTTCAGATGTTCAGGATGGTTCTGGAAACAGCAGACCAATTATAGGAAGAGAAAGAAAGAAGTGAGAAGATGGGCTAAAAAATGAGAATAATCTTGATCAGAAAGGTTTATGCGATAAGTTTCCAGGAAAAACAAATTCTGTCAGTTAATAACTAAGATTTGGTCCAGGGTTGTATTTTTTTAATTGAGTAAATTATATGTGCAGCATGAGTAAAATTAGTGTTTTCTTAAATGCCAAATTTTGAAAATATAATTTTCTTTTAAATAAGATCAATGGTGTTATTAAAGTAATACATTTCAACTGCCTATCTCCCGAGACAAAAGCATCCTCTTACCCAGTATGTGAAGAATATACTTTTTGTTCCCATTTGTTTCCAGAAAATGCAATGTGCCTCGTGTTCATTATGACAACATGATCACCGCAGTCACCTAGATTGAAAAAGAGAAAAGAAAGAAAAAAGATTTTATGTGAAACATTGTGACTTTAAGAAAAAGTGACCTTGGTTATTTATAAAGGTTATCAAAGTCTAACAACACATTAAAAATATAAAGCAAGTCAGAGTGCAACACCAAAATCCTTGAACAGGTTTCTGTTACTGCTTTATATCATATTAAGTATAGAAGGAGTTGGCGAGCCATTTGAAAAATCTTGACACTGGGGGGTAAAAGAGAATTTGATAAAAATGCCAATAACAACAAGACAACTTTAAGGGCAAACTACTGCTATTTCTAGCATAGCCTCCTATTAATAAGCACACTTCACCAAAGGTGATCACATTAAGCGTTTTTAAATATCTAGTTTAAATTTTCTCTTAAAAACAGAAGAGAAAATGAAAACAATATGCATCTAGTTATAAAAATATATATATATATGTTTTGCCAATAGGTAAATTGAAAACAAATGTAAAACATCACAATTTACTCTTCTCAATTTTAGAGAAAAGAATACTATGATCTTATGCTTAACTACTAACCCAATGTTTTTTCCAACCATATTTAACTAGTTATATTTAAAATGTCACTCTCTACTATGACAACATGCATATTAGACAGGACAGGATGACCTGAAAATTAAAATATATGTATTGGATTAATTTTCCAGTGGAAAGTACCCCTAAGTTCAGCTGTTCATCTAAAAAAAAACAAAAAAAAAAACCCCCACAAAAGTAAATGTAAGTTTTCACATGAGTTACTATATGTGGCAGGATCAAGTCATCGTAAACATTTATTAAATGCTTATTCTACTAATAGAAAAAATAAATAAACTTTGAAAGATTCTAGAAGTTTATTGATTTAAGAAAACCACCAGAAAAAAGTATAAACAAACAGTACATGAAAACTAAAAATTACATTACGTGTTTCTATACAGAGCTTAGAATTTGAATGACAGAATTTTTTGAGAGCTGTTCAGAGTCTATACAGAACCAGGGTAACAGAAAGATAAAGCAGGTGAGTTTTCTCCACTAGAGGGAAGGAATCCAGAGGGAAGGCAAAACCTGGGAAGCTTGCTGTTAGTGTGTTGAAAAGGATAGTTTGACAGTATTTGACGAATTAAGTGACTAGAGTTCCTAAAAGTGACACATGGTGGTTTAATAAGGCAGTTGGGGGCAAATGAACCAAAATAACAAATAAAAAGAGGGTGACAAGATATCTATATAGTTTTAAAGAATGCTGAGCCACCTTAGCTTTCAGCTAGACATTTACAGTTGAAGAAGTTAAGGCCCATTAAGATTAACTAATTTGCCAAAAGCTCACATACCGAGTTACTTAAACCCCATTCAAGCTCTTTCCATGACACCTATTTAGAGGAAAAATGGAAGCTTTAACTTTCCACTGAAGCTGAATTTATTTGCAAAATCAGACAGCAAAATTAAAATAATGCAATAATTTACATTTGAAATCGATTGACACAACCGATAGTAAGAGAAAAATGGGCAAACTGGGTTACTTTAAGAAGAGCATCATAAATGTTTTTTCCTAACAAGTCCTTAAAAGATGCTTACATAGTCCTCCTCAACTAGTTAATTTGTGGGCAGTGAAGTGGGGAGTCCCCATGAAGAGTAAGTCATAACTCAAAAATCACCATGTACCCTTTCTTTTCATTTATCAGTGAAAAAGAATCATGTTCAAAAAGCTCCCAAGTCCCAAACTCAGGAGGACAGCTCTTATTAGGAGGAAGGAATTCTCTTCCTACTTCCACATAATTTTCATCTTGACCCAGACCACATTTTTCTTAAAAAATAACCTTATAAATGGAAAGTTGGTTTTCCACAACACTTTACGAAGTCCACTGGAGCAGTTCAAATATTATATATGTTATGCTCAGACACATTACTGGTTAACTTTTACAGCCACTCCTGGATATATGACCATCATCTGTAATACTATTTTTCTGGACAATTGAATGTCAATTTTCAAATAAACATGTTTGCAGTGATTATGAGCAAATAATACATGCTTAATAAATACTGGTTAAGCCAATAAATGTTAGAAATAAACTAAATACACAGCACATTTGTAAACTGAAAACTGTTTTCTTTAAGATTTGATTTTAGTGACATCTTGTGGACAGGACAAGTTTTGCTGATATAAGTTATATATTAAATTTAGTGTGAAACAAAAATACAATTCAGCCTTTAAAATGAATATTTCTAATTTCATAGGAAACTGATTCTCTAGTCCTAGGAAGGGATGGCCTAACAGGCAGCCAGGAAAGTTCTGGTGTTCTAGCAGAATGTTTATTCATCAGTGCTTAAGGGACACTTTTGCAATGAGTGCTTGTAAGAAAGCAGAACTTTCAGTGGACAGGTAAGTGCTATACCTTAAGACGGAAATTAGGTAACTACCACTAATTCCACTTTTCCCCCAATTCTGCATCATTTGCATTTCTACAAAGACAACCTAGGATATCTTGTTTATTATCTTGTTGATATCACTGCTAAGGAAAAAGCAAATTAGGAGGAAAACAGTTTAAGTAGCTAAGATTCACCATACTGAAGTGGAACGATTTCCTACATGAGTAGACAAGTGCCTGGGGTCTAGTCCCAGTTTTACCACAATATAGCTGAGTGACAGTGAGAAAGTCATTTCATTCTTCCAATTTTAGTTTTCCCATTTATCAATGAGGCTGTTAAACGAAATATGTAAAGTCCTAAGGAATGAAACAATCCTATGAATTGGTGTTCTATGATTATGGCACTCTCCTGATTTGCGAACCCCCCCCCCAAAAGATTACTATCGAAGTAAGGAGATTTATAATTAGTCAGCATAAGTCTGCTGATGACTGTTTTACTTTCAAAATACAGTTGACCCTCACTATTCATAGATTCCATACTGCAAATTAGCCTGCTCTTCTTCAAATTTATTTGTAATCCCCACATCAGTACTTGCAGTGCTTTCCTCGATGTTCATGGACATGAGAAGAGCAGTGGGAACTTAATGCACACCTTTCCAGCAGAGGTAGAATCTGGTGATGCTCTGCTTCTCTTTTTCTAATCAGTGTTGTTTTATGGCCTATTTAATGCCAGGCTTTTTGGCAGTTTGGTGATTTTAATTAGTGACTTCACTGTTCAAAATATCCCCCAAGCCTGATGCTGGAATGCTGTCTAGTGTTCCTAAGTGCAAGAGGCTGTGATGTGCCTGACAGGGAAAATATATGTGTTAGATAAATTCTGTTCAGGCATAGGCTATAGTGCTGTTGGCCATGAGTTCAATGTTAAAGAATCAACAATGTATCCATTAAATAAGGTGTCTTTAAACAGAAACACACATAAAAAGAGGCTATGTGTTGACCAATGGATGAAAATGTTGTGACCAGAGGCTCACAGAAACCTAACTTTGTATTTCCCCTGGATGCAATGGTTTGTGTTTACTAACTCAACATTCATGGTGACTTTAAAGAAAGTCACTGCTGCTGGCTGGCGTGGCTCAGTGGTGAAGCATCGACCTATGATCCAGGAGATCATGGCTGGATACCCTGTCAGGACACATGCCTGGGTTGTGGGTTCAATCCCCAGCGGAGGGCGTGCAGGAGGCAGCTGATTGAAGATTCTCTCTTATTGATGTTTCTCTCTCTCTCTCCTTTTCCCTTCCCCTCTCTGAAATCAATTAAAAAAAAAAAATTTCTGGCATATATATTGTGGTTATTAATGACAGGCCCAAAACGATACTCACTCAGTTGATGATATACAGGCTTATGCAATCCTTGAAGTTTAATTGATGCCATAGCAGCAAGTTTGCCAGGGGGCTGCATTTTCCCATCTAAGAGATACCAAACTCGAGCAAAAGTAGCCCATTGCTTGAAAAAACAGAAGAGGAAACAAATAAAATTCTAATCAAAGTAGAAATAATTATTATACATCATCACACGTCTTTTATGGTTAATGTCAATAATTATGTAAGAAAAAAAAAGACCCTATTATTAAACATTTTTTGTTTCCTTTTTCTACTTCTGAAAAGCAGGTTGTCTCTTCTCATTATTCTGCAAAGATTAACACGATAAATTTTCCTGTCTGCTTTTCTATTAGTAATGTGTATCATGCTTTATTAAAAACTTTCCAGGGAGTCTCTGCTTCTATCCGCCACCACTCCCCAAGTCTTAACAGTCGATTTCCAACTCAGCAGCCAGAGCGCTCACCTTAACACCTGAGATCATGCTGCCCCTTGGCTCAGAAACCTCCAAAAGGTGCTCATTTTACTCAGTAAAAATCCAATTCTTACAATGATCCACAATAACCTATGTGAGCCATCTTACCTCTCCGACCTTCTCTCCTAAAACTCGAGCCGGGAACAAAAGACGTGAAAAGGGCCGATTGAAAGAGGAGGGAACGAGCGCAAAGAGAAGAGCGAGTGGTGGCCAGGATCACGCCGTCTTGTCTGCTTCCGAGAGGTACCTTCTGGCCCATGGACTCGGCTCCCCTGCCCCCCTTCTGCCAGTGTAATGAACCCCTTCAAGCAACAGCCCGAGCTCACCTGGGGCGCCCTGGAGAAACTCGACATGTTTCCCCACTAGCAGGGCCGTCCTCCTTCCTCCGGGGTCCCAGGCCGTCCGCAGCATCACTGGCCCGGCGGGAAACGCGTCCACCCAAGCTGGACAGTTCCTAGGCCGGCCGGCATTTATCCGCTTCTCCTCTTTTTCTGGGTCCCGTCCCATCTTCCCACGATCGCGATTTTGTCACGAAGGAGGCAATAATGCGGTTGCCGCGAGAACGACTCCCGGAATCCAGCCGTTGCTAGAAAAGTTGCGGAAAACCAACGGAGGACTCAGGATTTCCAGCCGACCTCCGTGGAAGGGACCCGGAAGTGCGTCACAGCGCGCGGCTGTTTTGATGTGGGATCCGAGCCGCGAACCGGGGGCTGAGCTCCGGGGCCGATGGATCGGTACCTGCTCCTGGCCATCTGGGGGGAAGGGAAG